CTACATGAGCGGAGCCAAGGGTGTTACGCTGACATATACAAACTAAACGATGATATGCATTTGTTGATTGAACGGTCTTGGTGGGGTGTATTATTAGGGGTTGAAGACAACGGCTATTTCGATGGGCGGGTAAGTCTTATATTTCTTCTTATATTTCAGTTTGATTAATTGTTTTTAAAATTTATGTAATTCACTAATATATGTCTTTTTTTGTAAAACAGCATATTGATGCATGGGTGACACGTCTTCTAATTGTAAGGAAATTAAAGAAAAATATAAAAAAACGCGATATACAATTATGCCGACGTCTTTTCAAGTAGTTCACTTGAAGAATCAACGACATGAATCATATGTTGGCTAATGGACAAGCTAAACTTTATCCTGCATGGTGGGAGGTCGATAAGGTTAGTATATTTGTTTAAATATTTAAAGGTGTTCATAAATAAGTGCGCAATTTGAATTATTACATTTCGATGCAGGTGTTTATCCCTGTTTTGGACCGTACTCATTGGCTTCTCGTCGAGCTTTAGCTCCCATCCCTAAAGACAATAGTATATGACAGCATGATAAATTACATTTCATTGTCTGATTTGAGAGATATTATTAAGGGATGGAGCTCTCATTTGGCTAAATTCTTGGATGCAATTAATTATTGGACTAAGTCTGGAAACAAGAAGCCAAAGAAGTTCAATGTTACAGTTATCAGAGACGAGACCGCGCCACAACAAACGAAGGAAGCCAGAGGGGATTGTGGTTCTCTCGTATGCATGTGCTTGGAGCATTTGACGACAGGAAATACACATTTTCTACCTCCCACCGATAGAGATAGAGGTGCAGTAGGCTTATGGTTTCAGCATTTTATGGCTAGAGCGATATATGCGAGACGCTGCCTACCTGCATCCGCGTTATGAAAGTGTCCATAAACAATTTGTAAGTCAAATGCAAGTGTTGTTAAACATATATACTCTTTTTGGTTTGAAAATGTTTGGTTAAGTAGCTAGAATTCAATAATTTGTTGTTTGTAGGTTTTAGATGTGTAGAAAGTGTTGTTGATTCAATGTTTGGTTTCTGCAGGTTAATCATGAAGTGAGCTGCGTGAAATGGATGTATGGGTGCAAAAGTTGATTTCATTATTATTTTTTGATTGTTTAATTGATTTGTAAATGTTGATTTGTTTAATTGATGTGTACATAATATTTGTGCTTGTTTAATTGATTGAAATGTAATAGTTGATTTGTTGATTTTCATTTTCGCATTGCAATTCACTCGTTGCGATTTTCATTTTGCATTGCGATTCTCTCGTTGCGATAGTCATTTCCGCATTGCGATAGTCAATTCCGCGTTGCGATAGTCATTTCCGTGTTGCGATAGTCATATTCGCGTTGCGATTTCCGCGTTGCGATAGTCAAATGAATGTCTAATAAGTGATAACAACTGAACATATCATAGCAATGTTCAAACTCAAGTTACTAATACATGCCTAACTGAAAATGTTAAAAGTTCACACATAATATACACATAATAAAACGTTTGCATTTAAAAATCACCTAAGTTAACAGACTCAAAAGGTGAAGCCGGTTGTGATTGGGATTTTGATGAGTATCCATATTTTGGTAGAGGAAAAGATGATTGTGATGGCACTGGTGATCCACATGTCAACCTTGTATGACCACTTTTCTTGCACCGACTACATGTCGATCTCTTCTTCTCTTCACCCTTAGACGGTATACGATCGTGACTTTTTGGTCGGCCAGGTAGCCTTCTGTCCATGGCTGGTGGCAAAACTGTTTGTAAGTCATCTGGTATGTCCCACTCAGAAGGATGTGGAATAGGGTAGACAATCTCGCCATAAGTCTGTCGATATACTTCTGTAGTGTATCAATCCATAGCGTATGCGCTTGAATCATCTTGGTTTAAATGAAGAGAAACTTTTATAACATGGCTACACTGATAACCAGATGTTTGCCATTTCATACAACTACACGTCTTTGTATTTAGATCGACAAGCCCATTTAAGTTATTATCCAGTACTTCAAACAAAGTGTTTGAACATGGTTCAACTCTCCATGACGTTGACTTCACAACACGTTTCGTTATCTTTTTTTCAGTCCATGGTATAACATGATGTTCCAATGTTCCTGTAAATTTAAATAAATAATACTTAGTAAAATATATGATAAGTTATGAATTTAAAGAAATAATACCTGTATGGTTTCTTTTCTTGTAGTACCACTGTTGAATAGAGGCTCGAAAAAACTCCATTAACATAGTAATGGGTAATTTTCGGGAATGACGACTTAGAGCGTTAATTGATTCTGCACTATTAGACGTCATGAAACCTTATCTTGCTCCAAGTTGATGTACTCTTGACCATCTTTCAAACCCGACATCTTCTAGTGTTTGAGCACACTGAGGCAAAACACGTCTTAAACAGTTTATATGCTTATTAAAAACTACTTCCCGATAAGCTTTTACAGCCTTCCAGTATGTCCATTTGTGATTTTTTATACCAGCAGACCTTGATTTTAGATTTCTATACAAATGAACACCACAAAGTCCATGAAAAGCATCTGGGAAACACCTTCTAACAGCGTTGTCAATTGAGTTTGCCCTATCGGATATGATTGTCAGATTGCTAATAGGACCTATACAATCCCTAAGATGCCCAATAAATCATGTCCATAAATCAGAGGTTTCAGATTTGCCAACCCCATAAGCTATTGGCAGTATCCCATTGTTAGCATCCATAGCTACTGCTAATAAGTTTACTCCAAGGTATCGACCTTTTAAATGTGCTCCGTCAACTATAATAACTGGGCGCATGCAATTAATAAATGAACGAATCTACAAAAACATATACACAAGAAATATAATCATTTAAATGTGAAATGCATGTAACTAACAAAAATGAGTCAACAAAATTATATTGATTTACTAACCGCAGCACCAATGGCGATAAACAGCAACTCAAAGCGTCCATCTCTATCTGTTTTGATATGAGTTACCGACCCAGGATTTTTCAGCTTTAAATTATGACAATAAGCCGGCAGTTGGGCAAACGATGCTTCTGGCGACCCCCTCAACAATTCCAAGGCATAACATTTGGCTCTCCAAGCTTGAGAATATGAGATACTAATCTTGAACCGAGCATTCATGTCAGTCATAATTTCATGTCCCCGATATACACTGCCATTCAAAAACATTAACTCAGCCAGAAAACCACCAAACACCTTTTTGTTTGCCTGTCTATAGTGAGGAAAAACTTGAGTTCTTGAAAATGTATGTTTATCAATAAAAGTCCTAACTTGAAACATTTCGCAATCTTTTATCCTCTTTGCAATCATACGCCACGTACAGTTTTTGTCAATCATACACCTTGTTTCGAAACGATCTTTGCTTGATTTGTTAACTTTTAGTTGATAGCCATCTTCCACACATTTCGTATACAAAGCTATCTTCAAGTCTTCCTTTGTATTAAAACAATCATCTTTCTTGATACGAATAATTTTTGTGTAACAATCAACTGCTATCTTTACCAACTCTTCTTCTGGTATTTGAAGTAATTTTGGCATATTCTAGTTATACTCCCGTGGCATTTTCTTCGGGGACTTTTCTTTGGGGATTTCTTCTTCTTCTTTTTCTTCTTCAGTGTTATATGAATTACAGAATGGATGTTCAACATGTTCATTTACAGTCGTAACTTCCTCCTCATTATCATCAACATCTTCCTCGGCAACGGCTGTTTCATCATCAAAATTCGGGTATTGACCAATATCAAAATCATCACACGCAGGGTCTGTTTCTTCTTCTGAAAAATCATCAAAATCCGAGTATTGACCAAGATCAAAGTTCGGGTATTGACCAAGATCAAATTTCGAATACTGACTAGTACTCAATATTTTTTTTTGGCTCATCATCGTCTAACTGGTCAATACGAAAACCGGAATTTGGTGCTGAAAGTTGATTGGGATTTGGATTAGGGAAATGTTGTGGGTTTTGAGATTGTGTTTGATATTGGAAATGTGGTGAAACAATATTTGCTTGATGATGAAATTGTGGTGGAATCATTAAATTTTAAGCACCATAAACTGAGGTTAAAAACTTAGTTGATTACTACCCGCTACTGACCCAACTTCACTACTTCTAGGTTCAACAACATACAATGTAACATCATCACTTGAAACACTAATGTAAGCAATGAATCGTTCAACATCTTCATTGTCGGTTAACAAATAAACTTTACCATTTCTCTGATAAGATAGCTTAAATCCACTTAGGGGCTCTAAATTCAATTTATTTGCAACACGTAACATTAGAGTTTCATAAGTTAACTTTTTTAATGACAGTTTTAGTTGAAGATTCATGGGTAAAGGCATATATTGTAAAACACCATGAACATTCTCCCATGACCCTCCAAAACACAAATCTATCCAAACATGATCAAGATTAGATGATTTCATTATTATAAATTAATTTACTAAACAAACGAGCTGCGAAACTAAAACCTGTTGTCGGATGGGGAAGGATGTCGTTGGATATAGGAACGAATGTCGCAGGAGAGAGTGATAGATGTAGATGAAATGAGTTGCGATTTAGGGATTTAGGTTATAAGTTGCTGCTGCTGCGTAGTTATATACCCAAAACATTTGTGTTGCGAAACTAAAACCTGTTGCGAATTCAGAAATCGAGTTACAAATTTGAAATTCAGTATTGCGATAGTCATAATCTCGTTGCGATTTACGTAATCGCATTGCGATTTTCCAAATTCGCGTTGCGAATTAGGAAAATCGCAACGCGAATTTGGAAAATCGTAATGCGATAGTCAGAATCGCGTTGCGAATCTGTAAACTGATTTGCGATACCGGAGATCGCATTACGAATTATCGATCGCATTGCGATTTAGTTGGTCATTTTGACAAATCCAAAAAAAAAATTGATTAAAATCGTATATTATAAGGCATTTTTTGTCACTGTGGTTATTTTCTCTTATAAAAATATTCAGAAAGCAGACAGTGATGATTTATACTTGAAAAATCACAATTGGGAAGCAAGTGACCAAATAACAATATCTCCACATCCATGGTAGAAAGAAAATAAGGTCTATAAAGATAAATTATAGGCGAGGACTGTGAATAAAATAGATGCCTTACAAAGAATATATCTATAGCTCAACTAAATCATATTATTGGGAGTCTAATTCTCCAATTGACGAATATGAATTTAGAGGTTCTTGATTTGAATATGGATATACTGTATCTATTATGGAACTTTCCTTGTCAGCTCCAATGGTAGGAAGAATAACACCACTTTCGGCAACGGATCGGTCATCTTGAACTGCTGTTAGAGGAATACCAGAGCTTTTTCTGGCAAACTAATACCTTCTCCTTGGTTACGCCGTATTCTGTGTCTTCTTTGTGGCAGCTCCACCTCAATCCCTTTGCAATGTTGCCAATTGCGTCGACGAAATAGCTGGATTCCCGGATTAATGCGTACCCCTTAGGTCGCAGGATTCGGTCCATCTCCAAGAGGACATACTTCATATCACACCTGGTAAAACCAACAATGTTTTGAACCCAGAACCAAGTGCAAAATGCAAAGAATTCATTAAAAGTAGCATTGAATAGAAGGGCGCCCGATGTCTACCTGTGGCTCTCAGCGGTGAAGAGGCCGTCAAGGTGAAGGAGGTCATATGTCCGAGGATAAGTTGAAAATGCTTCGCACCTGGAAAAGATGTGCAATAGATTATACACCGTGAAGAACATCAAAAGAACGATCATTTCACGGTCTCAAAGCTACGGGGTAATGCAAGCCTAGGATTCATATTTCATATAAGTGCATTTGAAATTACCAATCATGATAAGATCCAATAAGTCCCCGATCATAGACCACAGGAAGTGTGTTGGCAGCATAGGAAGAGACAACGTTCATGACCCATAAGGGATCGTCGATAACAGCTGCAGCAAAACCTCCGTAAGCTGTATTCATGTCCATAACGTTTCGTATCTCATTGGTCCCAAGTGCAGGAAGCAACTTCTTGTAGTGCTTGGCTCGCACCTTCCACTTGCTGTCATCATGCTTTAAAGCACTGGCACTCCCACCTGGAATATTCGAGATGCGTTCAGGAGCAACTTGCAACCTCTCTGGCCACTTTGGCAGGGACCCCAAGGCTGATTTCTTAAGTTCTGGCTTTGGAACAACAATACACGGGCGGAGCGGAGTGTACCATGCTGAATCTGGTTCGAGACTGTCATCACACTTGGGTGGGTAGACATCTCCTGCAAGCTTATTGTAGCAACTATTATCTGAAGATTTCTGCCACACGGCAATATTGTCCTTTTTGGCATACATTTTAAAGCACATTGAACTCAACAAGTCCTGCAACTTCTCATAATCTGATTTCTGCTCTTCAACAGTCGTGTTCCATCCACGCCAGCGGTTTTCATAGTTGACGGGAGGACCAGACAAGACCCAAAAACCACCAGGACGGAGTATGCGATGAACTTCAAGGAGATATATTCCACCTGAGAGTAATTGAAGTCAAATGTTGAAGCATGTGTAGGAGAAAAAAAACAAATCATGGAATAATATGCCTTTAAACTCTCAGGCCATCAAAGGAATTTTATGGAAACAAATTTTAAGCTGAGCAGAAAACGATTATTTACCAAATTCAGTCCATGGGATAAGGCATCTTGAGCAATGAGCCATATCAAATGAACTTGAAGGGAAAGGAAGCCGCTGAGTAGAAATGACACCGAGGATCGCCGGTATTCCACGTTCCAGAGCAAACTGCACCTGAGCTTCATGATTATCTCTCGGTGCAAGTGAAACTGTCAAAACCCCGCGATCTAATAGATCACCTCCCCAACTAGCAACCTGTAAATACAGACAATCAGTTCGTCTCCATAGGTCAATTTTAAATGCAGAAAACAAATGCAACAGAGATACAAACATGTATGGTTCGGGTTTAGAATGAGAAATCAACACTTTGAGAATTGCAACTCACCCCACAGCCAGTGTCGATAGCAGTTCGAACAATACCATCTTTAATTCCAGGGATCAGATCTTGCATCAAATCTACATAGGCACCAACTCCTCTAGGGAACATAGTACCACCACCAGGGAACATGAATTTCTCCCCTTGTTTCCTCAACCAGTTCTGATTAGACTTCTGCTTATTGATCCAATTATACGGCACATTCCTGAAACCATATCAACATGTTAGTAACCATGTAAACTTAAGGCAAAGCGAATCGATCCTCTCAACGGAAATTAGCAAAGCTAGAAACTAGCTATAGTACCTGTACCAACATTGATCGCGGCTCTTTGGCCATCTTATAGGTGGCTTATACTCATCAGGAGGTGGAACCAAGCATAGCTTCCTCTCTAACATCGGAGGACAATGGCGTTCCAAGAATGTAAGCCGATGTGTACCGTACTTCTTCCACATCTGTAACAATCAATACAACACATCAGCACAGCAATCTAACATTAAGCAGCACCAACATTATTAAACGAACAATCATGTTTTACCCTGGGATCAGTGCATGGAGTGTAATCCTGATAATCAGCACTGCATTCCGGGAAAGCGACCGGTTTGATTTGAAGGGGGTTCACGGCAGGTTCCTTTGGAGAAGAAACAGTCTTGGAAACATCCTGCACAATCTTGCCCTCCAATCGGTTTTTCTCGGAACAGAAGACTCCACCAAGATAGAAAGAAAAACCACATAGCACAAGGACAAGTAATGTTGCAGGGACAATCTTGAAAGACTTGTCCGGTTGTACATGATATTTTCCATCTTTAAGCTTCATGGTTTCAGAAAATAAATACTTACTGCAATTCAAATAAAAAACAGAAGGAAAACAAACAAGTAAATGTATCTGGTTTGAACAAATTGTTGTGCAGAAACTTCAAAGAAACCCCATCAAATATGTGACATGAGGTGCACGTAAAACCCAGAAAATTGGCAACCAGCAAAAGATGAAACAAATGTTAGCTTTCTAGTAGAGATATGAGTAATGAGTACAAAACCACACACACTACTTCGAACTGCAATAATCGAATTAAATGTAGATCATGCTAGCAAATCCAGACCATAAAGACAAGACCTCGAAAGCCGTAAAACTAGAGATCTGGTGCCAACTATCACCGACACATAATGCTACGCATGTCACTCTGCCTTTATAGCTTTCACATGATACAAGGACCCAACTCATACAGAGCTTGGCAGAATCATATGGTCCCGTACATTCTACATACTGAGTCAAAAAGGTAATAGGGAAACTATGGATTTCCTACCCAGCATGGAAAAGAAAAAGGGTACCCCAAAACTTTTTTTCTTTAATAATTTCCTTGGCATAGAAGAAAAGATTCAAATGATATCATTGTCAGTGCAGGCCAATAAATGGGTACATTGATCTCATGGACAAAAAAAGCAGATTGCCAATGGGAATCTGCCATTATGCATATCTTGAACTCAAAGAATGCAAAACACCAAGAAAATTGGAGAAGAAGAAGAAGATGAAGGGGGAAAAAAGATTTCTTGTAGTTTCGAGGATAAGGTAAAAACCAAGTCTCATCCACCAGTAAAACAAAAAAGGTCAGATCTTTAGAAGAAAAAACACCCAGAACAAGAAGCATCAAGTACAAAGAAACCATACAATAAAAAAGGCAAACAAAGAGAGAAAGATTTAAGTGCCTTGGGAAATTGTTTGTACCTACAATCACTCTGCCTATCTTGAGTTACAAAAGAAGAAGAAACAAGCGAAAGAGAAATCTGCTTTTGTCAAAGAAGGTGTATGACTTTTGATGCAGAGAATTGCACCCTACGGGATGAAACGAGTCTGTGCTGAAACTTATAAGGAAAACACGCCAATACTGAAAGGGAAAACAGCTCGAACCTTTTTTAAATAAGCGTGGTGTCTTGTGAGGTTTCTAATCTCTTTCTCCCTTTGTTTCTGCCTCTCTGTCTAATCCCCTATTTTTTTACTACTTTTATTATTTTCTTTCTTATAATTCTACTTTTATTCATATACTTTTTTAAAAAATTTCTAAATAAGATTACCAAACTAGAAGATACTAATTATAAAAACAAGTAAATATAATAAAACAATATTTAAATTTATGTGATTTAATATCTAAATATTTATAATTAAAAGTAAAAGAAATTAATATCTTATTGTCTTTAATATAATTTGAATTAAAACATATTTAAGTTAAATTATAAGAAAATGATAATTTAATTTAACTGTTAATTGTGCAAGAATAAGAAATTAAAATATAAATTATTCGTTAATTTTAAAATTTAAGTTAAAATATATTTAAGATATGACACATTATAAAATTTTAAAATAATTTATTTGTGCTAATTTAGTTTTTATATAAGAGAAAATAACTTCAGTGACCGAAAATGCCTTATAATATACGATTTTAACCAACTTTTTTTTGGATTTGCCAAAATGACCAACTAAATCGCAATGCGATCGATAATTCGCAAAGCGATCTCCGGTATCGCAAATCAGTTTCCAGATTCGCAACGCGATTCTGACTATCGCATTGCGATTTTTTAAATTCGCATAGCGATTTTCCGACTATCGCAATGCGAATATGTAAATCGCAATGTGAATATGTAAATCGCAATGCGAATATATAAATCGCAATGCGATTCTGACTATCGCAACGAGATTCTGACTATCGCAACGAGATTCTGACTATCGCAACGCGATTCTGACTGTCGCAACACTGAATTTCAAATTCGCAACAGGTTTTAGTTTCGCAACACAAATGTTTTTGGTATATAACTACGCAGCAGAAGCAACTCATAACCTAAATCCCTAAATCGCAACTCATTCCATCTCCATCTATCACTCTCTCCTGCGACATCGGTTCCTATATCCAACGACATCCTTCCCCATCCGGCAACAGGTTTTAGTTTCGCAGCTCGTTTGTTTAGTAAATTAATTTACAATAATGAAATCATCTAATGTTGATCATGTTTGGATAGATTTGTGTTTTGGAGGGTCATGGGAGAATGTTCATGGTGTTTTACAATATATGCCTTTACCCATGAATCTTCAACTAAAACTGTCATTAAAAAAGTTAACTTATGAAACTCTAATGTTACGTGTTGTAAATAAATTGAATTTAGAGCCCCTAAGTGGATTTAGGCTATCTTATCAGAGAAATGGTAAAGTTTATTTGTTAACCGACAATGAAGATGTTGAACGATTCATTGCTTACATTAGTGTTTCAAGTGATGATGTTACATTGTATGTTGTTGAACCTAGAAGTAGTGAAGTTGGGTCAGTAGCGGGTAGTAATCAACTAAGTTTTTCAACCCCAGTTTATGGTGCTCAAAATTTAATGGTTCCACCACAATTTCATCACCAAGCAAATATTGTTTCACCACATTTCCAATACCAAACACAATCTCAAAACCCACAACATTTCCCTAATCCAAATCCCAATCAACTTTCAGCACCAAATTCCGGTTTTCGTATTGACCAGTTAGACGATGATGAGCCAACAGAAAAAATTGTGAGTACTAGTCGGTATTCGAAATTTGATCTTGGTCAATACCCGGACTTTGATCTTGGTCAATACTCGGATTTTGATGATTTTCAGAAGAAGAAACAGACCCTACGTGTAATGATTTTGATATTGGTCAATACCCGAAATTTGATGATGAAACAGTCGCTGCCGAGGAAGATGTTGTTGATGATAATGAGGAGGAAGTTACGACTGTGAATGAACATGTTGAACATCCATTCTGTAATTCATATAACCCTGAAGAAGAAAAAGAAGAAGAAATCCCCGAAGAAAATACCACGGGAGTATAACTGGAATATGCCAGAATTACTTCAGATGCCGGAAGAAGAGTTGGTAAAAATAGCAGTTGATTGTTACACAAAAATTATTCGTATCAAGAAAGATGATTGTTTTGATACAAAGGAAGACTTGAAGATAGATTTGTATACGAAATGTGTGGAAGATGGCTATCAACTAAAAGTTAACAAATCAAGCAAAGATCGTTTCGAAACAAGGTGTATGATTGACAAAAACTGTACGTGGCGTATGATTGCAAAGAGGATAAAAGATTGTGAAATGTTTCAAGTTAGGACTTTTATTGATAAACATACATGTTCAAGAACCCAAGTTTTTCCTCACCATAGACAGGCAAACAAAAAGGTGTTGGGTGATTTTCTGGCTGAGTTAATGTTTTTGAATGGCAGGGTATATCGGGGACATGAAATTATGACTGACATTAATGCTCGGTTCAAGATTAGTATCTCATATTCTCAAGCTTGGAGAGCCAAATGTTATGCCTTGGAATTGTTGAGGGGGTCGCAAGAAGCATCGTTTGCCCAACTACCGGCTTATTGTCACAATTTAAAGCTGAAAAATCCTGGGTCGGTAACTCATATCAAAACAGATAGAGATGGACGCTTTGAGTTGCTGTTTATCGCCATTGGTGATGCGGTTAGTAAATCAATATAATTTTGTTGACTCATTTTTGTTAGTTACATGCATTTCACATTTAAATGATTATATTTCTTGTGTATATGATTTTGTAGATTCGTTCGTTTATTACTTGCATGCTCCCAGTTATTATAGTTGACGGAGCACATTTAAAAGGTCGATACCTTGGAGTAAACTTATTAGCAGTAGCCATGGATGCTAACAATAGGATAATGTCAATAGCTTACGGGGTTGGCAAATCTGAAACCTCTGATTCATGGACATGGTTTATGGGGCATCTTAGGGATTGCATAGGTCCTATTAGCAATCTGACAATCATATCCGATAGGGCAAACTCAATTGACAACGCTGTTAGAAGGTGTTTTCCAGATGCTTTTCATGGACTTTGTGGTGTTCATTTATATAGAAATATAAAATCAAGGTCTGCTGGTATAAAAAATCATAAATGGACATACTAGAAGGCTGTAAAAGCTTATCGGGAAGTGGATTTTAATAAGCATATAAATTGTTTAAGACGTGTTTTGCCTCAGTGTGCTCAAACACTAGAAGATGTCGGGTTTGAAAGATGGTCAAGAGTACATCAACTTGGAGCAAGATATGGTTTCATGACGTCTAATAGTGCAGAATCATTCAACGCTCTAAGTCGTCATTCCCGGAAATTACCCATTACTATGTTAATGGAGTTTTTTCGAGCCTCTATTCAACAGTGGTACTACAAGAAAAGAAACCATGCAGGTATTATTTCTTTAAATTCGTAACTTATCATATATTTTACTAAGAATTATTTATTTAAATTTACAGGAACATTGGAACATCGTGTTACACCATGGACTGAAAAAAAGATAACGAAACGTGTTGTGAAGTCAACGTCATGGAGAGTTGAACCATCTTCAAACACTTTGTTTGAAGTACTGGATAATAACTTAAATGGGCTTGTCGATCTAAATGCAAAGACGTGTAGTTGTATGAAATGGCAAACATCTGGTTATCCGTGTGGGCATGTTATAAAAGTTGCTCTTCATCTAAATCAAGATGATTCAAGCGCATACGCTATGGATTGCTACACTACAAAAGTATATCGACATACTTATGCCGAGATTATCTACCCTATTCCACATCATTCTGAGTGGGACATACTAGATGACTTACAAACAGTTTTGCCACCAGCCATGGACAGAAGGCTACCTGGCCGACCAAAAAGTCACGATCGTATATCGTCTAAGGGTGAAGAGAAGAAGAGATCGACATGTAGTCGGTGCAAGGAAAGTGGTCATACAAGGTTGACATGTGGATCACCAGTGCCATCACAATCATCTTTTCATCTACCAAAATATGGATCCTCATCAAAATCCAAAGCTCATATGGTGTCAAGAAAAAGGCAATCAAAATCGCAATCAAAATCAAAATCCCAATCACAACCGGCTTCACCTTTTGGGACTATTAACTTAGGTGATTTTTAAATGCAAACGTTGTATTATGTGTAAACTTTTAACATTTTCAGTTAGGCATGTATTAGTAACTTGAGTTTGAACATTGCTATGATATGTTCAGTTGTTATCACTTATTACACATTCATTTGAATATCGCAACGCGAATTTGACTATCGCAACTCAAAAATCGCAACGCGAATTTGACTATCGCAACACGAATATGACTATCGCAACGAAAAAATCGCAACGCGAATTTGACTATCGCAACGCGAATTTGACTATCGCAACGCGAATTTGATTATCGTAACGGGTATTTGACTATCGCAACGAGAAAATCGCAACGCGAATTTGACTATCGCAACGCGAATTTGACTATCGAAACACGAATTTGATCATCGCAACGGGTATTTGACTATCGCAACGAGAAAATCGCAAAGCGTATTAGACTATCGCAACGCGAATTGACTTTCGCGTTGCGATTTTGTCTTTCGCATTGCGATTTTGAGTTTAGCGTTGCGAAAGTGTACCTCCAACAGGTCTTTTGCTTTCAATATGATGCAGATTGAAATCAACAAATCAACTTTTACATTTCAATCAATTAAACAAGCACAAATAAGAATTATTTACACATCAATATTAAACAAATCAACTTTTACAAATCAATTTTTATAAATCAATTAAACAAGCAAAAAATAATAATAATTCTTATTTTCCTCATCAATTAAACAAATCAGACTTTTAAGAATCAATTAAACAATCAAAAAAAGTGTACCCCAGACAGTTGTTTATGCACCCATACATTAATTTCACGCAGCTCACTTCAGGATTAACCTGCAGAAACCAAACATTTGCTCAAATAACACTTTCTACACATCTAAAACCAACAAACAACAAATTATTATTGAATTCTAG